TGGCAGCCTAGCATCAGCCTGACGGTGATGTTAGTGCTGCATCACATAAACCATACAGCACTAAATTCAAGCCAGTGCAAACATATATGTTTTCACGTAATGCATGGATACTGTTTACGTATTGTTATAAAATTAAGCATAAAGCGTGTCTAAACGAGAGATATTTGGGATAGGCAGCCATTAATCTTCAAATTGGCAAATTGTGTTGTTTGGTATAAATCTATAAGATTAATGATATTATAATGTTGCCACCCAAACCAAACACATCCGACAGAACACAGGTTTATAGCTAATAATCTGTGATGGTGCAGTAAACTGGCTATCTCAACTCACAATCGTTCCAGTTTACAACCATCTTGCAATAACGGTTCGTGATTACTGTGCCGAGGTATACTTTACATAACTTCCAGGTCAAAACCACGGGGAAAACTGGCATACAGCCAAGATCACAAAAAAAACGTACTCAGTTCTATTTAACAGGTGACGTGACCCACAACAATTCATTTAGGTTGTGTATGTAACGGAAGACAAGGCTCTATAACTCCTAATGGGCGCGCCTCGTGTTCTCCCGATGATGCGGAATACGGCCATGTGACTGATATCTCCCCTCCCTTCTTTCCATGTCGCAGTACTTTGGTTCTTTTTTATTCTGGGAAATATGATTAACATGCAATATAAACATGTTGGCGCTATGCAGCGATGTTGTTTTTGGCTGTTTTATCCTATTGGCAATGGTAGCAATCAGCATATCGTCCGCGAATGTCAAAGACAGATTGGATGGTGTTATGTCTTATATTGTATGTTTGGATAAGAGATTGCAACGACTTAATTACGTCTGGAAGACATTTCCAGCAATATATATTCATATCGAAAGAGAATGGTTCAGACATTGTCTGCGAAACGGGCGGATGTGCGTCAGCCGATGGGCCATCAACCTCTTCAAACTTTAGAGACATTCGCTGTGGAGTCATGATCGTATTGAATCAGAGTGGGTGAGTGAGATGGGTTTAATACCGCTTCCGTATCCCCTGTATCGGCGCAGTAGGCCTGTGAGGACAGTGACAGTAAACAGCTACAAAACTGCTTATGCAGTTTAACTGAATCTATTGGATGATGTGGACCCCGATGTAGATAAGGATAAATCGTACAAACATCACCAACAAACATAACTGACAGACACAACCAACATACATAACCAACAGCTTAACCCACAGACTTAACCAACAAACATAACCGACACACATAATCAATAGAATTAACCAACAAACATAACCAACATGCAAAACCAACAAACATAACCGACAATCATTATCAACAGACGTAACCAACAAACACAGCCAACATACATTACCTACAGTCTTAACCGACAAACATTATCAACAGACTTAACCAACAAACATAATCGACATACATAACCAACAAACACAACTGACAAAAATAACCAACAAACATAACCAACATACATAACCAACAAACATAACCAACATGCAAAACCAACAAACATAACCGACAAACATTATCAACAGACTTAACCAACAAAAACAACCAACATACATTACCTACAGACTTAACCGACAAACATTATCAACAGACTTAACTAACAAACATAATCGACATACATAACCAACATACATAACCAACAAACACAACTGACAAACATAACCAACAAACATAACCAATATACATAACCAACAAACTTAACCAACATCCATCGGTATACATGTATGTCGAGCTTTATAGGTATGGATGCGCTACATGTGGTAGCACCCTGGTGCATTTCTAAACATAATTCGAGGTGTATGTGATCGTAGTCCGATGTGTATGTGATCAAAGTCTGATGTGTAAGTGATCAAAGCCTGATGTGTATGTGATCAAAGTCCGATGTGTATATGATCAAAGTCCGATGTGTATGTGATCAAAGCCTGATGTGTATGTGATCAAAGCCTGATGTGTATCTGATCAAAGTCCGATGTGTATGTGATGAAAGCCTGATGTGTATCTGATCAAAGTCCGATGTGTATGTGATCATAGTCTGATGTGTATGTGATCAAAGTCCGATGTGTATGTGATCAAAGTCCGATGTGTATGTGATCAAAGTCCGATGTGTATGTGATCAAAGTCTGATGTGTATGTGATCAAAGTCCGATGTGTATGTGATCAAAGTCCGATGTGTATGTGATCAAAGTCCGATGTGTATGTGATCAAAGTCCGATGTGTATCTGATCAAAGTCCGATGTGTATGTGATCAAAGTCCGATGTGTATGTGATCAAAGTCCGATGTGTATGTGATCAAAGTCCGATGTGTATGTGATCAAAGTCTGATGTGTATGTGATCAAAGTCCGATGTGTATGTGATCAAAGTCTGATGTGTATGTGATCAAAGTCCGATGTGTATGTGATCATAGTCTGATGTGTATGTGATCAAAGTCCGATGTGTATGTGATCAAAGTCCGATGTGTATGTGATCAAAGTCCGATGTGTATGTGATCAAAGTCCGATGTGTATGTGATCAAAGTCCGATGTGTATGTGATCAAAGTCCGATGTGTATGTGATCAAAACCTGATGTGTATGTGATCATAGTCTGATGTGTATCTGATTGAAGTCTGATGTGTATATGATCGAAGTCTGATGTGTATGTAATCAAAATCTGAGATGTATCTGATTGAAGTCTGATGTGTACCTGATCGAAGTGTGATGTGTATCTGATCGAAGTCTGATGTGTACCTGATCGAAGTCTGATGTGTACCTGATCGATGTCTGATGTGTATCTGATCGAAGTCTGATGTGTACCTGATCGAAGTCTGATGTGTACCTGATCGAAGTCTGATGTGTACCTGATCGATGTCTGATGTGTGACTGATCGAAGCCTGATGTGTATCTGATCGAGGTCTGCTGTGTATCTGATGAAAGTCTGATGTGTATCTAATAGTATTCCTATGTGTATCTGATAGTATTCCGAAGTATATCTGAAAGTATTCCAATGTATATCTGATAGTATTCCGGAATATAACTGATATTATTCCAATGTATATCTGTTAATATTCCAATGTATATCTGATAGTATTCCGGAGTATAACTGATAGTATTCAAATGTATATCTGATAGTATTCCGAAGTATATCTGATAGTATTCCAATGTACATCTGATAGTTTTCCAATGTACATCTGATAGTATTCCGGAGTATATCTGATAGTATTCCGAAGTATATCTGATAGTATACCGATGTATATCTGATCGTATTCCCATAGGTATGTGATCGTACTCCGAAGTATATCTGATCGTATTCCGAAGTATATCTGATCGTATTCCGAAGTATATCTGATCGTATTCCGAAGTATATCTGATGTTATTCCGATGTACACTGAGCCCATACAAGACTGACATACCACTGCGATGTGAGTCAGAGAGCGACTGTGAGACTGTAGCCTCAATAACTCTCTCCGTATACACGAACCTGGCGTGTTATGCTTCATATATTATAGCTCCAGAGGGATATTGACGTAAATAAGATAGATATCTGCCACGTGGCAAGAAGGATGACCAAGTGGGTCGGTTCATTGGGAGTCTTCACGCTCAAGATCACATAGAACTCGTCCTCCCGTTCTTGATCACATACAAGTCGTCTTCACGCTCGAGATCACATACAACTCGTCTTCACGCTCTAGATCGCATACAACTCGTCTTCACGCTCGAGATCGCATACAACTCGAAGGATGTTCTATTTTGTGAAAGCAACTTTGACTTTTGACTATTTAATGTCAGTGTTTTACTGACTGTTGACGATTGCATACTAAACGAAAGAAATCAAAATTCGGGTATTCTTTAACTACTTTTGAGTGGTATATAATCACTGTAGTGAATGAGTTGGGTTTAACGCCACTTTTAACAGTATTACAGTTATATCCGGCGTGTCACCTTAATGTGGGAGGAAAGCCCGAATTGATGCAGGTCTTAGACGTTTACCACTTTGGTGAAACCCACGAGCACGGGTATGGTGCTTACAAACCTAGAAAGATAATCGGGGCGAATCGGGATTCGAACCCATAATCATAGGTTTCTGGCACGTCCAAGGGACGCAACTCTGCACAGCGACTCGCGGCGCATTAGACGACTGGCCACCCGTGCCCCCTATAATTACTGTAAGTCATCAAGTCAGTTTAACTTGAGAATATGCCTCGAATAATGTAAGAACTGAAGATGTTTGCCTTATTGTAAAGCTATGTTTGTTTGATGTTTGCTCACTACTTGGGATGTCCACACAAACAGTATTCGGTATTAAACTGTCGACCATGCAAATAGCATGGCTTAACAAATTTCAACCAGAAACCATAGTATAAGGGAGATAACTCAAATATTACGCATTGGAAAAATCTGGCAGCTGACGTAAAATCTTTATCTCAAGCCATCGATGAGTCATAACGATATCCCTTCATAAAACTGACTTGGAACGTTATAGGTTGCACCTCAAGGTGAATGTGAAACTATATCTTGCTGACTGTGTTAAATATTTAATGCTTCAGATCTTGCATTGTCAGCAACAAATCATTTTCAGGGTATATCCCTGAATTTCAACAACTGACAGGCAAAGTTACCAAAACACGAGCACTTTCTGAAATTAGAAAATAGAACTTAATGCTTCAGATCTTGCATTGTCAGCAACAAATCATTTTCGGTGTATATCCCTGAAGTTCAACTACTGACTTGCATAGTTACCATAACACGAGCACTTTCTGAAATTGGAAAATAGAACTAATTGATAGGTAGACAGACAGACAGAAACACAGATCAACATACATTACAGACAGGCGGTCATAAAAAGAAGAATCGCCATCGGGTCAAGAACTAGACAGAACACTAGACAGAACACTAGACAGAACACTAGACAGAACAAAGACAGACAGACAAAAGCACACAAACATTTAAACAGCAGAAATACAAAAGCAGAAAGAAACAGAAACATTAGGGACAGAAACATACTAACAGAATACTACTCAGACAGGCGAGGAAAGAGACCAAAAGAAGCAAGGACAAACAGAAACACAACCTGACAGACAGACTGGCAGAAACACAGTCAAGCTTACAGAGAGTCAGACAAAAACAGTACCTGCAGACACAGACAGACTGGCAGAAACACAGTCAAGCTTACAGAGAGTCAGACAAAAACAGTACCTGCAGACACAGACAGACTGGAAGAAACACAGTCAAGCTTACAGAGAGTCAGACAAAAACAGTACCTGCAGACACAGACAGACTGGCAGAAACACAGTCAAGCTTACAGAGAGTCAGACAAATACAGTACCTGCAGACACAGACAGACTGGCAGAAACACAGTCAAGCTTACAGAGAGTCAGACAAAAACAGTACCTGCAGACACAGACAGACTGGCAGAAACACAGTCAAGCTTACAGAGAGTCAGACAAAAACAGTACCTGCAGACACAGACAGACTGGCAGAAACACAGTCAAGCTTACAGAGAGTCAGACAAATACAGTACCTGCAGACACAGACAGACTGGCAGAAACACAGTCAAGCTTACAGAGAGTCAGACAAAAACAGTACCTGCAGACACAGACAGACTGGCAGAAACACAGTCAAGCTTACAGAGAGTCAGACAAAAACAGTACCTGCAGACACAGACAGACTGGCAGAAACACAGTCAAGCTTACAGAAAGTCACACAAAAACAGTACCTGCAGACACAGACAGACTGGAAGAAACACAGTCAAGCTTACAGAGAGTCAGACAAAAACAGTACCTGCAGACACAGACAGACTGGCAGAAACACAGTCAAGCTTACAGAGAGTCAGACAAATACAGTACCTGCAGACACAGACAGACTGGCAGAAACACAGTCAAGCTTACAGAGAGTCAGACAAAAACAGTACCTGCAGACACAGACAGACTGGAAGAAACACAGTCAAGCTTACAGAGAGTCAGACAAAAACAGTACCTGCAGACACAGACAGACTGGCAGAAACACAGTCAAGCTTACAGAGAGTCACACAAAAACAGTACCTGCAGACACAGACAGACTGGCAGAAACACAGTCAAGCTTACAGAGAGTCAGACAAAAACAGTACCTGCAGACACAGACAGACTGGCAGAAACACAGTCAAGCTTACAGAGAGTCACACAAAAACAGTACCTGCAGACACAGACAGACTGGCAGAAACACAGTCAAGCTTACAGAGAGTCACACAAAAACAGTACCTGCAGACACAGACAGACTGGAAGAAACACAGTCAAGCTTACAGAGAGTCAGACAAAAACAGTACCTGCAGACACAGACAGACTGGCAGAAACACAGTCAAGCTTACAGAGAGTCAGACAAAAACAGTACCTGCAGACACAGACAGACTGGCAGAAACACAGTCAAGCTTACAGAGAGTCACACAAAAACAGTACCTGCAGACACAGACAGACTGGCAGAAACACAGTCAAGCTTACAGAGAGTCAGACAAATACAGTACCTGCAGACACAGACAGACTGGCAGAAACACAGTCAAGCTTACAGAGAGTCAGACAAAAACAGTACCTGCAGACACAGACAGACTGGCAGAAACACAGTCAAGCTTACAGAGAGTCACACAAAAACAGTACCTGCAGACACAGACAGACTGGCAGAAACACAGTCAAGCTTACAGAGAGTCAGACAAAAACAGTACCTGCAGACACAGACAGACTGGAAGAAACACAGTCAAGCTTACAGAGAGTCAGACAAAAACAGTACCTGCAGACACAGACAGACTGGCAGAAACACAGTCAAGCTTACAGAGAGTCAGACAAAAACAGTACCTGCAGACACAGACAGACTGGCAGAAACACAGTCAAGCTTACAGAGAGTCACACAAAAACAGTACCTGCAGACACAGACAGACTGGCAGAAACACAGTCAAGCTTACAGAGAGTCAGACAAATACAGTACCTGCAGACACAGACAGACTGGCAGAAACACAGTCAAGCTTACAGAGAGTCAGACAAAAACAGTACCTGCAGACACAGACAGACTGGAAGAAACACAGTCAAGCTTACAGAGAGTCAGACAAAAACAGTACCTGCAGACACAGACAGACTGGAAGAAACACAGTCAAGCTTACAGAGAGTCAGACAAAAGCAGTACCTGCAGACACAGATCTCTAGACAGAATGGCAGAAACACAGTCAAGCTTACAGAGAGTCAGACAAAAACAGTACCTGACAGACAGGGGTCAACACACACAGAGACAGATAGACAGACAGACAGACAAAGGAAAACTGTACCAGAAGAAACACGGACAGACAACCAGACAAAGGAAAAACTGTACCAGAAGAAACACGGACAGACAGACAGACAAAGGAAAACTGCACCAGAAGAAACACGGACAGACACGCAGACAAAGGAAAAACTGTACCAGAAGAAACACGGACAGACAGACAGACAAAGAAAAAACTGTACCAGAAGAAACACGGACAGAAAGACAGACAGACAAAGGAAAACTGTACCAGAAGAAACACGGACAGACAGACAGACAGAGGAAAAACTGCACCAGAAGAAACACGGACAGACAGACAGACAAAGAAAAAACTGTACCAGAAGAAACACGGACAGAAAGACAGACAGACAAAGGAAAACTGTACCAGAAGAAACACGGACAGACAGACAGACAAAGGAAAAACTGTACCAGAAGAAACACGGACAGACAGACAGACAAAGGAAAACTGCACCAGAAGAAACACGGACAGACAGACAGACAAAGAAAAAAACTGTACTAGAAGAAACACGGACAGAAAGACAGACAGACAAAGGAAAACTGTACCAGAAGAAACACGGACAGACAGACAGACAAAGAAAAAACTGTACCAGAAGAGACACGGACAGAAAGACAGACAGACAAATGAAAACTGCACCAGAAGAAACACGGACAGACAGACAGACAAAGGAAAAAATGTACCAGAAGAAACACGGACAGACAGATAGACAAAGGAAAAACTGCACCAGAAGAAACACGGACAGACAGACAGACAAAGAAAAAACTGTACCAGAAGAAACACGGACAGAAAGACAGACAGACAAAGGAAAACTGTACCAGAAGAAACACGGACAGACAGACAGACAGACAAAGGAAAACTGTACCAGAAGAAAAACGGAGACAGACAGACAGACAAAGGAAAAACTGTACCAGAAGAAACACGGACAGACAGACAGACAGAGAAAGGAAAAACTATACCAGAAGAAACACGGAGACAGATAGAACCACAAGCAAACACTGACATGTAGTCATGACGAAACACACCCCGACAAAAACACAGAGAAATTGATTGTTCCACAAAACTAACAGAACAGTCTGTACATGAACAGGTTCGAGTCAATATCAGATAATATCCAGTCACTGGCGCAGGCTGGGATCAGCTCAGCATTAAGTTACAATTATGTCGGTTTTCTCATTTCGGTCTTGCATAAAACCATATAATTCTACTCCTCCAGTAACATAAGCAACAACCCATACCTGTGAATGTGTCGGTCCATCCTCGCTTTACCATCTATAAGTAAAAGCTACCATTGGTACACATGCCAAACCCATCTACAATAACACACTCCTTGTTTAATGATGATATGACGGCGAACAACGTGAAAACAAGTCAGCCTTCTCTTAGTACGATAGCAACATGTTAATCTTACATTTACTAGTATTTCCGTGTTACTTATAACTTGTCGTAATCTAAAATATTAAAATACCTGTTTTTATTGTCTTTGCTGGAGCATTAATTATCTTGTTACATGTATAAAACAAACTGATCTATGAATATTGCAAATGTTCTTAAACGTGAAAACACAATATTTAATATTGAGAGTTAAATAGAAACATACTGTATTTGTTTAAATCTTGAGAAATAGTTAATACACAAGGATGATAGCCCCAATCGACTCAAGTCATCTCCTTCCTGAATGTGAGGAAACCGCCCCAGTCCATCTGGTCCTACAAGTAACAACCTCAGTTTATACAACAATATGTTAGGCCGACACGTTGCGGTGGGAAACAATCCATGTTATCTACTCCTACCACTTTTAACAATCATGCGACCCGTGAAGATCCGGTAAGTGAGTAGGTCTTCAGCAACCCTTGCTGTAAGAGACGACTGTGCTTGTCGTAAGAGAGAAGTGTGCTTGCCGTAAGAGACAACTGTGCTTGCCGTAAGAGACAACTGTGCTTGTCGTAAGAGACAACTGTGCTTGCCGTAAGAGACAACTGTGCTTGCCGTAAGAGACAACTGTGCTTGTTGTAAGCGACAACTGTGCTTGTCGTAAGAGACAACTGTGTTGCCGTAAGAGAGAACTGTGCTTGTCGTAAGAGACAACTGTGTTGCCGTAAGAGAGAACTGTGCTTGTCGTAAGAGACAACTGTGCTTGCCGTAAGAGACAACTGTGCTTGTTGTAAGAGACAACTGTGCTTGTCGTAAGAGACAACTGTGTTGCCGTAAGAGAGAACTATGCTTGTCGTAAGAGACAACTGTGTTGCCTAAAGAGAGAACGGTGCTTGTCGTAAGAGACAACTGACTTGTGTTGCCGTAAGAGACAACTGTGTTGCCGTAAGAGACAACTGTGCTTGCCGTAAGAGACAACTGTGTTGCCGTAAGAGACAACTGTGCTTGCCGTAAGAGACAACTGTGCTTGCCGTAAGAGACAACTGTGCTTGCCGTAAGAGACAACTGTGCTTGTTGTAAGAGACAACTGTGCTTGTCGTAAGAGACAACTGTGCTTGCCGTAAGAGACAACTGTGTTGCCGTAAGAGACAACTGTGCTTGTCGTAAGAGACAACTGTGTTGCCGTAAGAGAGAACTGTGCTTGTCGTAAGAGACAACTGACTTGTGTTGCCGTAAGAGACAACTGTGCTTGCCGTAAGAGACAACTGTGCTTGTCGTAAGAGACAACTGTGCTTGCCGTAAGAGACAACTGTGTTGCCGTAAGAGACAACTGTGTTGCCGTAAGAGACAACTGTGCTTGTTGTAAGAGACAACTGTGTTGTCGTAAGAGACAACTGTGCTTGTTGTAAGAGACAACTGTGCTTGCCGTAAGAGACAACTGTGTTGCCGTAAGAGACAACTGTGTTGTCGTAAGAGACAACTGTGCTTGTTGTAAGAGACAACTGTGCTTGTCGTAAGAGACAACTGTGCTTGTTGTAAGAGACAACTGTGCTTGTCGTAAGAGACAACTGTGCTTGTCGTAAGAGGCAACTGTGCTTGTCGTAAAAGACAACTGTGTTGCCGTAAGAGACAACTGTGCTTGCCGTAAGAGACAACTGTGTTGCCGTAAGAGACAACTGTGCTTGTCGTAAGAGACAACTGTGTTGCCGTAAGAGACAACTGTGCTTGTCGTAAGAGGCAACTATGCTTGTCGTAAGAGGCGATAATCGGGTCGGATGGTCAGGCTTGCTGACTTGCCATCGTATCCTAATTGCGTAGATCGATGCTCATGATGTCAGTCATTGGATAATCTGGTTCAGACACGATTATTTACACATTTCTGTCATATAGCTGAAATATTGCTGAGTGCGGCGTTCAACAACAAAGAGTGAAACTGTTTTATATGTAACTGTCTCTGCTTAACTAAAATGTTTTGTACCCATTGCAAGAGATAAGTTTGTGTCAAATTGCATCACGATTAAGTTCCAGTAGCATCACACAGGAGATCGTACGACGCTGATGTTGTACAATGCTGAGCAATGCTGTGCTATGCTGTGGTGTGATGTGCACTTCTGGTCTGCCTGATGTTGCGTTCTTATCCTGAGCAATTGTGATCAGAGGTGGATCCAGGCCATGTTTACCGGGTGGAGTGATGGTGTGTTGTCCTAGGTAGGGTTGATCAGAGGTGGGTCCAGGCCATGTTTACCGGGTGGGATGATGGTGTGTTGTCCTGGGCAGTGTGGATCAGAGATGGATCAAGGCCATGTTTACCGGGTGGAGTGATGGTGTATTGCCCTGGGCAGTATGGATCAGAGGTGGATCCAGGCCTTGTTTACCGGGTGGAGTGATGGTGTGTTGTCCTGGGCAGTGTGGATCTGAGGTGGATCAAGGCCATGTTTACCGGGTGGAGTGATGGTGTGTTGTCCTAGGCAGGGTTGATCAGAGGTGGGTCCAGGACATGTTTACCGGTTGGGGTGATGGTGTGTTGTCCTGGGCAGTGTGGGTCAGAGGTGGATCAAGGCCATGTTTACCGGGTGGAGTGATGGTGTGTTGTCCTGGGCAGTGTGGACCAGAAGTTGATCCAGGCCATGTTTACCGGGTGGACTGATGATGTGTTGTCCTGGGCAGTGTGGGTCAGAGGTGGATCCAGGCCATGTTTACCGGGTGGAGTGATGGTGTGTTGTCCTGGGCAGTGTGGACCAGAGGTTGATCCAGGCCATGTTTACCGGGTGGACTGATGATGTGTTGTCCTGGGCAGTGTGGATCAGAGATCGGTCCAGGCCATGTTCACCGGATGGAGTGATGGTGTGTTGCCCTGGGCAGTGTAGATCAGAGGTCGGTCCAGGCCATGTTTACTGGGTGGAGTGATGGTGTGTTGCCCTAGGCAGTGTGGATCAGAGGTGGATCCAGGCCATGTTTACTGGGTGGAGTGATGGTGTGTTGCCCCAGGCAGTGTGGATCACAGGTGGATCAAGGCCATGTTAACTGGGTGGAGTGATGGTGTCTTGCCGTGGGCAGTGTTGATCAGAGGTCGGTCCAGGCCATGTTTACCGGGTGGAGTGATGGTGTGTTGCCCTAGGCAGTGTGGATCAGAGGTGGATCAAGGCCATGTTTACCGGGTGGAGTGATGGTGTGTTGCCCTGGGCAGTGTGGATCAGAGGTGGATCAAGGCCATGTTTACCGGGTGGAGTGATGGTGTTTTGTCCTGGGCAGTGTGGATCAGAGATCGGTCCAGGCCATGTTCACCGGGTGGAGTGATGGTGTGTTGCCCTTGGCAGTGTAGATCAGAGGTCGGTCCAGGCCATGTTTACTGGGTGGAGTGATGGTGTGTTGCCCTAGGCAGTGTGGATCACAGGTGGGTCCAGGCCATGTTTACCGGGTGGAGTGATGGTGTGTTATCCTGGGCAGTGTGGATCAGAGGTGGATCCAGGCCATGTTTACCGGGTGGGGTGATGGTGTGTTGTCCTGGGCAGTGTGGATCAGAGGTGGGTCCAGGCCATGTTTACCGGGTGGGGTGATGGTGTCTTGTCCTGGGCAGTGTGGACCAGAGGTGGGTCCAGGCCATGTTTACCGGGTGGAGTGACGGTGTGTTGTCCTGGGAAGTGTGGATCAGAGGTGGGTCCAGGCCATGTTTACCGGGTGGAGTGATGGTGTGTTATCCTGGGTAGTGTTGATCAGAGGTGCGTCCAGGCCATGTTTACTGGGTGGAGTTATGGTGTGTTGCCCTGGGCAGTGTGGATCAGAGGTGGGTCCAGGCCATGTTTACCGGGTGGGGTAATGGTGTGTTGTCCTGTGAAGAGCTGGTTTGTCCTTCGCTGAGAAACGATGATGTAGTCTAACGCTTATGACCCACAACATTTATGTTGTACTGATGTTGTGCTGAATCCTGGTGCTGTTCTGTCCTGAACAATGCTGGTAACGAAACAGTTTCATAAAATGCGGTGATGTCCCATCTTTTGAAATGTTGGCGTCATGACAATACATGAATCGGAACTTGTAGCGAACACATTCTGATTTCAGTTTATCCAGCAACTCTGGACCCAAATAAACAACACAGTACCCACACATAAAGACCATCACACGCGCTATACATTAAAGCCATCATACATTAAGACCATCACACGCACCATACATTAAGACCATCACACGCACCCTACATTAAGACCATCACACGCACCCTTCATTAAGACCATCACACGCACCATACATTAAGACCATCACACGCACCCTACCTTAAGACCATCACGCGCACCCTACATTAAGACCATCACACGCACCATACATTAAGACCATCACACGCACCATACATTAAGACCATCACACGCACCATACATTAATACCATCACACGCACCATACATTAAGACCATCACACGCACCATACATTAAGACCATCACACGCACCATACATTATGACCATCACACGCACCCTACCTTAAGACCATCACGCGCACCCTACATTAAGACCATCACACGCACCATACATTAAGACCATCACACGCACCCTACCTTAAGACCATCACGCGCACCCTACATTAAGACCATCACACGCACCATACATTAAGACCATCACACGCACCATACATTAAGACCATCACACGCACCCTACATTAAGACCATCACACGCACCATACATTAAGACCATCACACGCACCATACATTAAGACCATCACACGCACCCTACATTAAGACCATCACACGCACCCTACATTAAGACCATCACACGCACCATACATTAAGACCATCATACGCACCATACATTAAGACCATCACACGCACCATACATTAAGACCATCACACGCACCCTACATTAAGACCATCACACGCACCATACATTAAGACCATCATACGCACCATACATTAAGACCATCACACGCACCCTACATTAAGACCATCACACGCACCCTACATTAAGACCATCACACGCACCCTACATTAAGACCATCACACGCACCCTACCTTAAGACCATCACGCGCACCCTACATTAAGACCATCACACGCACCATACATTAGGACCATCACACGCACCCTACATTAAGACCATCACACGCACCCTACCTTAAGACCATCACGCGCACTATACATTAAGACCATCACAGGCACTATACATTAAGACCATCACACGCACCATACATAAAGACCATCACACGCACCCTACATTAAGACCATCACACGCACCATACATAAAGACCATCACAGGCACTATACATTAAGACCATCACACGCACCATACATTAAGACCATCACACGCACCATACATTATGACCATCACACGCACCCTACCTTAAGACCATCACGCGCACCCTACATTAAGACCATCACACGCACTATACATTAAGACCATCACACGCACCCTACCTTAAGACCATCACGCGCACTATACATTAAGACCATCACAGGCACTATACATTTAGACCATCACACGCACCATACATAAAGACCATCACACGCACCCTACATTAAGACCATCACACGCACCATACATAAAGACCATCACAGGCACTATACATTAAGACCATCACACGCACCATACATAAAGACCACCACAGGCACTATACATTAAGACCATCACACGCACCCTACATTAAGACCATCACGCGCACCCTACATTAAGACCATCACAGGCACTATACATTAAGACCATCACACGCACCATACATAAAGACCACCACACGCACTATACATTAAGACCATCACACGCACCATACATAAAGACCACCACAGGCACTATACATTAAGACCATCACACGCACCATACATAAAGACCATCACACGCACCATACATTAAGACCATCACACGCACCATACATAAAGACCATCACAGGCACTATACATTAAGACCATCACACGCACCATACATAAAGACCACCACAGGCACTATACATTAAGACCATCACACGCACCCTACATTAAGACCATCACGCGCACCCTACATTAAGACCATTACAGGCACTATACATTAAGACCATCACACGCACCATACATAAAGACCATCACACGCACCCTACATTAAGACCATCACACGCACCATACATAAAGACCATCACAGGCACTATACATTAAGACCATCACACGCACCATACATAAAGACCACCACAGGCACTATACATTAAGACCATCACACGCACCCTACATTAAGACCATCACGCGCACCCTACATTAAGACCATCACAGGCACTATACATTAAGACCATCACACGCACCATACATAAAGACCACCACATACACCATGCGTCACTTCGTGCCAAGGTTGTTTTCACAGCAACTGTCTGCTCAACGCGCACATCAGTACTATCTTCCTAACAACATGCTTCCATGGTATCTGGGTATGCTATCCGCGGTCGGCTATTTAGTATCGGATGACGTATCGTGCCGTATCTGCCATCACCCGAGAACCCAGGACGCTATCACGACAGCTGGTGCCTGTTGAATACACTCGCTGATTTATTCGATCTAACCTGTCGCCAGCACCTACACGTGTTCTGTTGTAGTTCCTGCTCTGGCGACGTATTTGCAAAACGTTTTGTGTCACACGATAAAATATGGTATTGTTTCCCAACCAAACCTAATATTGATAACCCACATTGGGACTTGGTTTGTTGCTTTGTCGGTAGAGTGTATATGTTGTGCTAATGGCAATCAAACAAATGGGTCTATGCTATTTTTAAACCATCACGTGACACTTTCTTATTGCAATTCATTCAGTTCGCTTAATGAACTGAACAAAAGAATGCCATTTCCTACATCAACGGTAGATCCAACAAAGAGGAGCGTTCAGTGATAAAGATTGTTGGAAAGGTTCAGAGTACAAATACAACAATAATGTAATTGTCTACCTGTCCTCCATCAACGCCGTCAATCAATTCCTGGGTCGTGCCAAAATGTATTTAAAGGAGTGATTCTTTAAGTGGGGTACCCACAGTCATACACACTTTCTGCTTGGTTTGTCGTGTTTCACACTTGACATTGATCGATGGGTGTACATGTATTCCTGCAGGGAAAATGGCCAGTGGTGACGATTGGTGTCGTTGGCACATTCAACACTGACGTTTGAGGAAAACTATTATCTTTGTCAAATAATTAAAAGGTTGGCCAAACTGTCCTCCATGTATGTGACAATACATGCCCCGACGTTCAGCTACTGATTGGAACTAAAGGTAGAAATGCAAAGATGACATCTACGTGAAATTTAGGATTGGACATTAAGGCAAGAATTAGGCATCCTCTTGGGCACCAACTGTGATCCCCGTCCTTGCAGATCTGATTCTTTGTGCATACGAGTCGGACTTTCTGCTCGAATTGGCGAAATCGAAACAAGGGAATTTGGCCAAGAAGGTTAACTTAAAGCCCCACCCTGACTATAAATAGCCCGCAAGGTGGCGGTGTTTCAATTTCGAACAATGACTGACAATGTAAACACAACCGAGCGTCTGGAGAAGCTTTTTGAAAACCACACGGGAACAAGATCCCCATTGACCGTCAAACTTCGTATCGACTTGAATGACAAACCATGGATACACCAAACGGCTCCATTTCAAGATATAAGTCAATAAATATCTGTAATTTTATCATAAAAAATCAAATCGATCGTGTTTGTTGAAACGTCTTGGAATCGTTTGATAGATATTTATTACCATTAAAACTTACGTCCTTGTTGTCAAACGGTCCACGTGGGTGGGTGTTTACATGAGGTCACCCGTTTACGCATTAACCAATGAAATGTGTGTGTTATCATAACGTCATATGGACCTGTCAGATCACTCGTATAAGCTCCGCCCACTAGAGTGCGGTAGTTCCTACCGCAGATGCCCCTTTAAGCGTCGGGAATCTCGATGATCTCATAGCGTTCAATAATGTCAATAGCCATTTCCCTTCCACTTATGACACAAAACTGAGCTAGAAATATTAGACTAGTGAAACCTCCTCACCCGTTTCGTATTTAGATCTCCAGCGGCTCCAGCCTTTGGTGTCTACAAAAGTAGTTTGACTCGGGTTACAACATTCAAGGCCTTAGCTTGTTTGTATGTTTGTTTGTTTGTTTGTTTGTTTGTTTGTTTAACGCCACACTCAGCAATATTATAGCTGTATGGCGGCGGTCTGTAAATAATCGAGTCTAGGCAAGACAATACAGTGATTGATGTCATGAGCCTCGATCCATGCATTTAGGATACCACGACATGCATCAACCAAGTCAGCGAGCCTGCCCACCCGATCCCGTTAGTAGCCTCTTACGGCAAGCATAAGCCGCCTGTTACGACAAGCATGGGTTGCTGAAGACCTATTCTAACCCGGATTTTCACGGGGCTCAAGGTCTAAGTAAAGTAAATAAAATCTGACGAGTTGGTAACAAAAAGTATGCGGTTCCCTATATTGACTTGTGCCGTGTATTCCCATGTGTTTTGTTTCAGCTGAACAATTTACTTGCCTTTGCATGTGTTTGTGAAGGATGCCACCGGTAGGGCAAGATGCGTTCACCTGGTATCATCACTAATTGTTAATGATTCATATTATCGGAATCGTACAACGGACGAGAGAATTCCTGTAATAATGAGAATGGTTTTGTCGCTTTTATTTACTGTTACTGCCTATGTTTAATAAATACCTCTCATATTCTTTGAAACGTAATATGTGTTTCATTTATTGACGTTTTACAAAGCAAGTTAAATATATTTACCAAAGATGCCAAATACCACTCATTCAGTGTGAGAGTACCCCTATTTGAAGAGAGAACCAGACTGAATAGTCAATGCAAAGCGCCTTGCCGTAACCAAATTCTGTTTCATCTCAAAACAAATTACCTTCGATAATAGTGAGATTTATTATTGAAACCACTTCTTTGCACTTCTTTCTGAACGTTTAAAAACAGGAAATGTCGCTAACATTGCAATTAATCCAGCAACTTGCCACAAATCGTCCCGTGCAACAACACAACAACGTTGCTGTAGACATCAGTTGATCGCAGGTATAGTTCGTGACGACACTCCTGACCACTCTGCCCACGTTAATATTACATGTTAGTTTCCACGTTGAGTGGACACAGGTCTCGCTCCGTCCCTCCTGCACGTGCTCAACTCGAAGGACGCCAGGCAAATAATGAACATTATCAATAATTGATCCACATTGTCGCATAACACCTTTACCGCCCAACCGACTTGAGATGAAGCTTATCCATCTAACATGATTGGTGTTTCTGAATACTGGCCCGGGTCGAGGATGTGATGAAATCTCATTATGGCTGTTTGCCTTGATCGTTACAGCAGGTGAATGGTGTCTATGAGCTTCTGCACACACAAGAATCATTTAAGAATAATGAGCAGCTAACAGGAGCAACAGCACGCTCCATGGGATGTTTATGTTGCCTACGGCGGCTCCGTATTGGTGACTACTTTGACGTTACACGCACTTTAACAGCAACAACGCCGACGTGAGACAAACACTAGCCTGGGACCTCTGACGCTGGCGACCCGATCTGAACTTGTACAACACATGCACGGTGGAAGGCGTTTACAGAATCACGTCCATCTAGAGCTGTTCTTTCATACACTTCTGTGTACATGTCCCTGTTATAGCTATATGATGCCGGTATTTGAATATTGTATATGAAACTGTATTCTATTCATGGACATAGGAAATTAACTGTCTTCGATCTATGGACAAGGAAAAGAAAAGTCTTCGATCTTTGGATATAGGAACGCAACTGTTTTCGATCTTTGGACCAGCAAAGGAACTTTCTCCGTTCTTTGGACATAGAAAAGCATCTGCCATCGATCTTTGGACCAGCAAAGGAACTTTCTCCGTTCTTTTGATATAGGAAAGAAACTGTCTTCGATATTTGGCTATAGGTACGAGATATTCGTATCTGGCCTTGCTGTGCAAAAAAAACGAAGATTGAACTCTGATCTTTTGATATTGTAAAGATAAGATTTGACTCCCAACTTCGCACTATGCAAAATGCTCCTGAGGATTCACCGGTGAACTAAATAAGGACGTTGGCGTCAAATCTTCGGTACTGACTTTTGTAATTTATTGAGATTGCTCCTAGCCTTGACCACGAGTTGTGGAATCTCATCCGACTTAAATACAATAATAATAGTCAGCTGTATACAGAGTATATTTCAGCATGTATGTGTGTGTCCTAGCGTGGAAACCTGTTTCAAACACTACTCCCTAACACTTGGACGTCCCACGTACACACGCGCCCTCTGGAGGGTGGATCTGACATTTCAACCTACTCTTGTCTTGGGCCGGCAATACAGACTCTCCGTCGGGTGGACGCCCGAGTTATAGAATGGGGGTAAGTCGTTCCTTCCTGTCTACCCTTGTCTCACAGTGTGTACTTATACTTTGTGAGAGAAGCTCTAGAATAGCCTGTATGAAGCAATCAGCGTTACATAACATGCATAATGTACACGGGCACTCGACACGCGTCTCAACACAAACACGCGTACACTCGCTTGTACTCATAACGCACTCACACGCGCCTGTACTTACACACACACACACACACACACACACACACACACACACACACACACACACACACACACACACACACACACACACACACCACACACACATACATACTCCACACACACACACATACATACACCACACACACACACACATACATACATACACCACACATACACCACACACACACACACACACACACATTCACGTGCAAGTACTGTAACACGCCTGAACGCAAACACGCACAAGCATACACTTGTTCAGATGCACGCACACACGCACGTCTGAACTTGTACACGCACATACCTGCCTGTACACACGTAGACGCAAGTGTTTCTGTAATCATACACGCGCACGCACGCACGCACGCACGCACGCGCACACACACAAACACACACACACATATATAGACACATGTGCGTCTGTTATTCTTCAGTCGTAACGACGTAACGTGCTGTTGGCTATAACATAACGTGTTGCTGGCTATGACGATACGTGTTGCTGGCTATGACGTAGCGTTTAGCCGGCTATGACATAACGTGTTGCCGGCTATGACGTTACGTGTTGCTGGCTATGACGTTACGTGTTGCTGGCTATGACATAACGTGTTGCCGGCTATGACGTTTCGTGTTGCTGGCTATGACGTAGCGTGGTCCTGGCTATGCCATAACGAGTTGCTGGCTATGACGTTACGTGTTGCTGGCAATGGCATAACGGTGTTGCTGGCTATGACGTAGCGTGTTCCTGGCTATGCCATAACGTGTTTCTGGCTATGACGTAACGTATTGCTGGCTATGACGTGCCGTGTTGCTGGTTATGACATAAGGTGTTGCCGGCTATGTCATAACGTGTTACTGGCTATGACATTACTTGTTGCTGGTTATGATTAAACGCTCTGGGAATAATTGCTGTTACGCACATTATCATATTTCCGATCATCGTAATTTTCAAAACATCACTTAAGAAATTGCAACTGGATTCTTCCTCCACTATATCAACAACAACAACAATCATATACCTGTCATCCTCCCTACTACTCGTACCGGTGTGGTTCAGCAGGAATTTAGTTTTATCGAATGTGGATATTCAGAACGGAGTCCTGTTTGCTCTAAAAAAATATTCGAGAAACAAAACACGAAGCGACTGTCATACGAATCCTTGGTGATCCATACAATGGCTAGTTTCCTGCTGACATTTACCAAAGCATGACTCACTTACTCTAACAAATGCATATATCAATGAAGACCACTTCCCTCTCGAAGCATACTGTCATGTGAGCCTCTTATGTTCTGTTATAAATCTCCCCCACTGAGTGAAATAGAGTTCACAAACACATTATGTCAGAACTAAATAATGCATGAACCATTAGCCCTGTGTTGACATTTATACTCGACCCTTTCTTCCCCACCAAACCTTTTTCTGACTCAACAATAGCAACCTGACCATGCACAGAACAATAATACACTCTAAACAAACAACACGTTAATAAACAAGACGGAGCACCAAACTTGTCAATTACTGCCATGATTTAGATAGTGTGGTTTGACGTCGACATTGATCTGTGCTGACTCAACCAGGGACGACGATATTAGATGTATGACGTGTACAACATAATGTAATAACCCGATAGGTGGGGCAGACGACCTGCGTGTACAACATAACGTTGTATGGTGGTATCAATGTTGGGAAGATGTCTGACGTGTACAACATAACCCATATCGGTCGTGTTTGGCTACTTAGAAATCCTGAAATATTTCTCCTTGCTACGCCACACTCCGCCACGACAATCTGACAGTATCTCCATTCATCAGCGAAAGGCGCTGGAGCCTTATCCTTAGCCTAATCCTAACGTCCCGTCCCGTGCCGCGAGACCAGCCTCACGGAGACGATAGCGCGCTGTCGGAGTAGACACTGTCTCTCCGCAGGTCATTTCTGAGTGTGGCGGCAGTCATGAAGTGATGATGTCTTGCTGCAATCACGTCTTTTCGGTGTGTGGTGGAACGCCTTCGACCACCTGCATTTCGCTGGGTGGGTAGCTGATCCAAACGTCTGATATCCATTCCATGCTCTGCTGATCACACTTTAACTGACGCCAAAGTCGCCAGTTTCAAGCATGCCTATGCATCTGCCTAATTCCAAGATCGTTAAACAACGTCTTTGATGCTTTGGCTTTGAATGCATAAGTGCATTCAGTTGTTGCTATCCTGCAAATGTTGTTGTGCTCTCTGATAAGGATGTGCAACGATTGTCACGATACATCCAAACACATTTCCAAGCACCTCGTGCACATCATGCCCATCACTGCATGCCTCTGTTCCTTCATCATGAAAATGAGGTCCTATAGGGACTCCCCAAACATTGTGCACGGAGATATTTCAATCTACATTTGTAGGATGATTTTTTGATATCATCAAAACTTAATCCTCATCATACTTTGTGTAGTATAGTTGTCCACTGCATATATTTCTGATATTTGCATAGTGTCCACATATCGCTTGTCAGTTATTCTAGGCATTTGATTGGTTGATTGTGAACCAAGACCTTAACGGAACTACTTTCGCTGCATTCATTCGTTCATATTTCGATCAGAACACCGTTCTTGTTTACACGAGGGAAACCAAACAAAGGGAAACAAAATAAACTAATTTTTATTGGTACTTTTATTATGAAATGCTGAAGTACCTGGGCAGAAAGAACGATATCTCATTTAAATATGCACATATGCAGCGGATTGTTCAGGGTGACCGAACAATTTGGGATGGGGCTTCACAGTAGAACGCTTTCCCTTCAACTGCATAAAACAAATTTCTAATCACAAAAGTTGCAAGAGTAAAAATTTAAACAATTTATTCCCTCAACTGCTCTGACGAGCACCGAAGAACAGCACGTGCTGTTTTACATTATTGTTTTGATCGTGCCCGCAAGCGCCGAGCTCCAAGATCACTCATCGTTTCGCGTTCGAGTACATGATCTTTAATGAACATTAGTGAGTGCGTGAGGGAGTATGGTTTTACGCCGCTTATAGCAATATTCCAGCAATATCACGGCTTCACACATTGTACCCATGTCGGGAATCGAACCCGGGTCTTCGGCGTGATGAGCGAACGCTTTAACCACTGGGCTACCCGACCGTCCCTTAATGAACATTAAACACAGAATGTAAGACCTTTACGATAGACTACCTCGCATAGTTGTTGATACATGGTCGTTGCAGGCATCGTCGTCGGCCATGCAGCAGAAGCACGGCAGGGTTAGCAGCGTCAGTGCCGTCAAACATTTGAGCATGATTTTAACTGGACTAAATATGGCGAAAAAACGAGCCGTACATATTTACTGTAATATCCGATAAACTGTCCGTGAAACATTTCCGACATTATATATATGTGTCCTGTCAAAACGCATTGACAGTGTTGGCGTATTCATCAGATGCACTCGTTGACCTCTATATGGAAATAATGAGGGATTACAATCAATTTAAACTCGGCCATGGTTAGGTGTTACTGCGTTGTTAAAACACTAATACGGCCTTTCAATTTGCAGACGACATATAATTGTACCGTTTAGCTTTACTAGAGAAACAAAATTTTGCAAGGAACTACTTTTGGAAACGTTGTAACCTTGACCTTTCTCTCAACTGTTATATAGACGGTTCTGAAGCTGCGACCTCTTCAAATTACATCTGTGGCATTAGAAACAGTATGTCGACAACTAATCGACGGGAGATATAATGCAGAAGTTCACAAATCGTACTGGTATACCGAATAAACCCCAGGACTTCACTGTCACTAAGGAATACTTTGACAACTTGGCGACCCGTGAACATCCGGCGTAGAATGGGTCTTCAGCAACCCATGCTAGTCGTAAAAGGCGACTACACTCGTCGTAAGAGACGACTGACGGGTTCGGGTCGTCAGGCTCGCTGACATGGTTGATGCATGTCATCGTATCCCGATTGCGTGGCTAGATGCTCATGACTGGAATGTCTAGTCCAGATTCGATTATTTACAGACCGACGTCATATAGCTTGAATATTACTGAGTGTGGCGTTAAACAACAAATAAACAAACAAAAACTGTCATAATTGTTCACGATTGTTGGATCGATGCTCATGATGTCAGTCACTAGATTGTCTGGCCCCTCTTGATTAATTACAGATCGCCGTCATGTAGCTGGAATATGGCTGTGTGCGGTGTTAAGCAACAAACAAACAAATAACAACTTCTATCATATTTGCATACCCATCGTGAGTGAGTGAGTGAGTGATGTGGAACAACGTCGGACCCAGCAGCATCAGTCAGACTGCACTCTCCGCCCTGACGCCTGATAATCGATTCATGCCACCCGGCCAGGACGACACACTTTAATCACCAGGTAGTGAACGAGAGTCGATCTTTACAGTTGATCACCCATCCCCTGGACGCATTCAGCGGCCATTTGGACGACACTCATTCTTATCTCGTTTTACGGCTACCAGGTTAATAGTTTTAGAAACGCAAGCATTATGTTTAATAACCGGTTTCAAACAAAACCTATGCGTGCGTGAAGCGTATGAATATTACAAGGGGTGGGGTGGCTTTGTCTTAAAAACAATCATTTGCTTCTGAAAAAAGGTGTTGCAAGTGCTCAAATGTTTTCGAGTGAGTTGTCTTGTAAATTTATGTAATCTATGTAATTTTATTTACCTCAAGATGGACAAAATGATCGTCAGCCATAGATAATAGTAGTTTATTTGCCAAAGGAACTCATCAAACACGAAAGAAAAGCAAAAGAAGATTTTGTCCCCCATTTTTTTTTAAATCAATTCTTATCGAAACTGATTATATC